GAAGGAAGGAAGGAAGGAAGGAAGGAAGGAAGGAAGGAAGGAAGATTAGTGTTACTAATAAGAGACTGGTCTGCCTCAATTTTGTTCTTCAACAAAAGACTTCCCTCTAGTTAAGTCTCCAAGTGGCCATGGTAGTTTAGGAGCTGGCTTTGTCCTTTGAGAACAACCCTGAGATCAGGCAAAGAACACCTTAGCTTGTGGGTTTGGCACATTTATTTAAATGTATTATGCAGTATCTCAATCCTGATTTACAGTGCCAGTTAAATTTTGTGAAAAATAAAATATTCTGAACACAGAACCACATTATTAGATAATTGTTTTTCCATGATTTTATTATTCCCCTAATGAGCCCTAAATTTAAAAATAATCCTATCCAATCTTTCTTTCTCCTCACCCCACCCCTTCCACCCCCAATAAAAACCTCCAAAATTGGATGTGTAAAAGATATTGCCCAGCTGGGCATTGGTGGTGCACTCCTTTAATCCCAGCACTAGGGAGGCAGAGGCAGGCAGATCTCTGTGAGTTCGAGGCCAGCCTGGTCTCCAGAGCAAGTGCCACGATAGGCTCCAAAGCTATACAGAGAAAAGCATCCCCCACAAACCAAAACTTTCTTTCTCATACGTTTTTATAAAGTCCCACATTACCCACCTGCCCAGCGCTAGGATTATAGGTGTGCTGCCATGCCTGACTTTTTATGTGAGTTCTGGACATCTGATTTGAGGTCCTTATACTTGTATATTAAGCATTGAATTGACTGAGCCATCTTCCCAGCTCCAGGCTTTTTTTTTTTTTTTAATGTTTTATTGGTATATAAAATAATGGCTTTCATCTGTATCAAGTGTACTTTGTTCACCCCACTCCTCACAAAAGGATCACATTTTCTTGATGAGGGTAGCAGGAAGAAAAAGGAAAACGATTTAAATTTTTTCAGATATCCTAACTTAAAATAATTCCGAGTTCACTTATGCAGAAAGTGGTACCAGAGAGTAGAGAGCTGCTGTGACAGGCCTGAACATGCTATTTTGTGGAAGAACAGGGAAGACTTTGAGACTCCAGGCTAAGAAAATAGTTGAATGCTATAAACAGGGCTTAACACAGTATCTAGTAGGGAGCTCAAAAGACAATAGCACTGAGATCAATGTGGACTATGGAGGACAGACAGTTCAGGATGTTTCAGAGGTGAAAAATATTATCAACTGGGATAGACCATTCTTATGATACTCTGGCAATGAATGTGGCTGCATTTTGCCCTGGTCCTGAGAATCTTCCTGAAGTAAAACTCAAGAATTTTGGACATTGGCAGAGGACAGTTCAAGACAGCCTAATACTGACTCTGCCACTTGTTATTTGTAACCACTCATTTGCAGATCCACAATGAAAAGGATCAAACAAGGCAAAAAGAAATACAAAATGTATAGTTTGAGGAGAAAGAGCACCAGGAAATTTAATATTGGAGCCATGGCTTGTGCTGAAAGAAACAAAGAGAAATGGAATAAAGGGAGTGGTGCCCTCAGGGCAAGTACCTCATCCAGCTAATCCTGAAATTAGTGAAATAAAAGGCCTAAGGCAGCAGCTCTCAACCTGTGGGGGTTTAACCCTTCGGGGGTTAAACAATACTTTCATAGGGATCGCATATCAGATATGCTACATATCAGATCCTGCGTATCAAGTATTTATATTACAATTCATTAGTAGCAACAAAGATAATTTTATGGCTGAAGGGTCACCACAACCATGAGGAACTGAATTAAAGGGTTGCAACATTAGGAAGGATGAGAACCACTGGCCTAAGTTATCTGTTCCTAAAAATTCAACTGCAAATCAAAGCTTATGAAAATGTAACTCAACAAGGGGTTAGGGGGTCAGGTACTATCGTAAGTGGCAGCAGAACTTAGAAGCATCTGCCACATAATTCTAGCTTTAGAGTTAAGAAGGATAAAGGAATAAAAGCGTCGTGGAAACACCATCCCCCAGGGATTAAGTAAAGTCACTGAGGTCAGGTGTATGTCAGGCCCAGAGAGAACACTGTCATAAAGTTGTTCAAGTGAAGCCTATGCTGGAGACCCTAAGATGTTGAAGATGCCAGAACCATGAGCCCAAGAGATGGGTGCTGGAGTCAGCAAAGCTGGAAAGGCAGAGTCATCTAGGTCCTTTAACATCAGATACAGAACTACAATGTCTGGAATTTGTCCTGCTAGGTTTTGGTCTTGCTTGGTCCAGTATTTCCTCACTATACCCCCTTTTCCTCCCTTTTAGAATGGTAATATATATTCCTTGTCATTGTATATTAGAAGTATATAATTTGCTTTTTTATTTTATAGGGACTTACAAATTAAGAGATTGATTTGAGTCTCAGAAGAGATTCTGAACTTGCAAAAAGTATTGTGATTCAAAGATTATGGGGACTTTTGATGTTGGACTAAATGCATTTTGCATTATGATATGGCTATAGGCCTTTGGGGGCTAGAGAGGGAAATATAGTTTGAGTGAGAATGACCCTCAAAGGTTCATATTTGAATGATTAGACCTCAGCTGGTAGAAATGTTTGGAAAGGATGAAGAGGTGTGGCCTTGTTGAAGAAGGTGTGTCACTGGGGGTAGGCTTTGAGGTTTCAAAAGCCTATACTATTTCCTAAGTTAGTTCTCCCTGTCTACTGGCTGTTGTCTCAACAATATGAGCTCTCAGCCTGACAGCCTGACAGTCTGACAGCCTGCTGTCCCACAAAACTTTAAGTAGGCAACAAATTCTTTCTTCTGTAAGTTGCCTTGGTCATGGTGCTTTGTCACAGCAACAGAAAAGCAAGAGACACAATACAAAGATCAAAAGAAAAGGGATAAGTCAGGCAAACATCTTTATTCCCAGCACTAGGGGAAAGCAGGTTGATCTCTCTAAACTTGAGGCCAGACTGGTCTATACAGCAAGTTCCAAGATAGCCAGGCTTACATAGTGAGACCTTGCCTCAAGAGAAAAAAATAAAAAAGTCAAGAGGTGTTGCCTACATGTTTAAACGATGCATAGGGAACTGTGGTGGAGCCTGTCTCTTCTAGATAATCCTCCCAGCTGAATTCTACTTCTTCTACACCAGGCCCAGAATCTGCAAAAGAAAAAACAACAACAAGTTGTATCTCCAAGTAAACACAAGGTATATCAATAAACTTACTGTAGGACAAATTCATTGATTTTACCCAAAAACATTTTGTTTTAATGGCAAGTTCCCTAAGTGCACTGACTGCCAATTAAATTCAACACACTGTCATTTGATACATTCTCTCTTGCTGGTGTGGTGGTTTGAATAGAATGGATCCCACAAGCTCATATACTGGATGCTTGGTCATTAGGGAGTAGTACTACTTGGCAGGAATTAGGAGGTTGGAGTAGGTGTGGCCTTGTTGGAGGAAGTTTGTCACTGGAGATGGACTTTGGGGTTTCAAATGCTCAAGCCAGGCCTAGTGCCCCTCTCTCTTTTCCTGCTGCCTGTCGACTGGATGTAGAATTATCAGCCACCTCTCTAGCAACATGTCGGCCTGCATGCTGCCTTGCTTCCCAACATGATAATAATGGACTAAAACTGTAAGCCAACCCCAATTAAATGTTTTCCTTTATAAGAGTTGCCATGGTAATTGTGTCTTTTCACAGAAGCAGTACACTGACTAAGACACTAGGGAAACAACAAATCTGAAGTTTACACAAATGGATCATATGAAACTATTGTGAATATGAAACTATTCAAATTACTTTGGAATCAAATATAATATCTAATACCAACATTTAGGATTCTTAGTAGACATTCAAATTTAAACTGTGAACCTGATTCTGAGTATTCTGCAACTGAGTAAAAATACTACTAGCCAATATTTCACTCAATCTAGAAAGTGTGAACTTACTTTGGGTCTCCTCCTTTTTTATTCAGCCCTTATATACAATCCAATGAAGCATATCCTGTATCTATTTCTTATGATGTCTACTGCTATCTCTAGAACAAAGCCTATCCACATATCTTTTATCTTTCATTCATATAAGACTTCAAAGGCTCTCCAGGATCTGACCTATCCTTCCACTTTTTATGAACCAGCTCACAATTCCCTGTAAATTCAGCTCTAGGAGACCTGATACCCTCTGGCTTTTGTGAGCACTGCACTCACATTTACAAATCCATATACGATCGCACACATATTCATAATTTAAGAATAAACCAAAAACTTTTTTAAAAAGGGGGAGGGCTAGAAGCTTCATCCCTGATGACTAGTTTTCATATTACTAGAAGGTACTATGTAGGTTGTTGAGGAGAAAAATTATCACTACCAAGCTACTGGTTAAGAAGTGTCCACTGGAGTGGCCAACCCATGACTGGTCCAACTTGAAGCCCATGCCATGAAAGGGGAGCCCACACCTGATACAGTCTGGATGGCCAGGAACCATAGTCAGGACAGCCCAGAGACCTAAGACAGAGCCAAATATGACTGGCAAAATAAATAAATAAATTCATACATAAATGATTCCTAACAATATTCTGCTACCCTCATAGATTGGTGTCTAGCCCAACTGTCATCAGAGGGGTATCATGTGGTAACTGATGGGAGCAGATGCAGAGACCCACAGCCAAACACTAGGCAGAGCCAGGGGAAACCTGCAGAAGAGGGGGGATTGTAGGAGCCAGAGAGGCCAAGGAAACCATGAGAACACGACCTACAGAATCAACTTAGCAGGGATCATAGGGGCTCAGCTCACAGAGACTGAAGCGGCAAACTCAGACCCATGTCTGAAACTAGTCCTTTGCATATGCCTTATGGTTGTGAGGCTTGATATACTTGTGGGACTCCTAACAGTAGAAGTGTATGTGTGTGTGTGTGGGGGGGGGTTGTCTCTGACTCTTTTGCCTGTGCTTGGGGCCCTTTTCCTCCTACTGGGTTGCCTCATCCAGCCTTGATCTGAGGATCTGTGCCCAGTATTATTGTATCTTGTTAGGCCATGTTCAGTAGATATGTCTGGGAGACCTGTTTTTTTGTTTTTGTTTTTTTTAATTTTAGGGAAATAGAGGAGGCATTGTTCTGGGAGGAAACTTTAGTCATGAAGTAATGTTTAAGAGAAGAATAAAAGGAAAAAAAAAAAAAGATGTGCTCACTGGTACACTAATGGCATGACTGTTATGGCGATAACCAATTGCTTTCTGATTGGATGTGAGGCCTGCTCCACAGGAAGAAAATTCATACCCGGTACTGTATATTGGTCAAAAGCCCATGGCTGGAGAGGTCATAGGCCCTCGTAGAGAAATCTTCCACTGTTGTTTTGCTAAATGAATATACAATACTTTTGAAGTCACCTTACGCTTAGAGGACAGTGCTACTATTCACTTTGGTCAGAGAAGCTTCTTTTTGCCATGGGAGGAAGTTACCTCCAAGACTCATGACTGGTCAAAGTGCTGAAAATAAATAAATGCTCAGGCCTAAATGGGGCATAGCTATTACCCAGTCTGTGAGGCTCAAAGAACATGGAGGGAAAGGGGATGAAAGAATGAAAGAGCCAGAAGAACAGATGGAATGTTGAGGAACGAGGTCTTTAGGACATGACATAGTTGTTACATTTATGAATTCAAAGCAGCTGTGATTACCCATGTTAAGAACTACACAAGCCTGAGCTCATCCACATCTATAATAGAGGGGAGAGAGATCTATGAGGAGTTATAGGCAGGGAGTGGTTGCTGGGGGAGGAAGAGACAGTTTTCAGTGGTACAACCAATGTTAAATTGCCCAAGCTACTGTAAATAATCTCTCACCAGTGCTCTTTTTTAAAAATTTTAAAAATAATTTCTTAAGATTTATTTATTTTATATATATGGTACTCTATGCCAGAAGAGGGCATCAGATCCCAGTGCTCTTATAAGCAATGCTAATTAAACTCACTGGGGTCACCAAAACGAAAATAGCATGCAAGTAAAACAGGAACTAGTTGGGAAGAGGAAGGAGATAAGAGAGTATAATGGGGAATGAATATGATCTGTGGCCACTCTGGATAACAGTAGTATGGTTTTATCACTAAGCCTATCATTTTTAAATTGCACTCAAAAGTGCAGAATGCTCAGCTCCACATGAAGCATCTTTATCACACTACCTTCTGTCCTCAAGGATCTGAGATCATGAAGCTGTGACTTCCTCAGGCACAAAACCAAACTGGCCACAGGTGCAAGAGAAACTCACAAGTACCATCACCAGCTGAGGAGCTTCTAAGCAAGTAATGCCTGCTGGAGGAGAGTCAGGTTTTTTGGATACTGCTGTCCCTGATTAGATTGCCCATGTTCTAGCAGATGGCCCTATACTCACATATATGCAAGGCAGTACTAAGTGGACTCATTGGATTTTTAAAAAGTATGTGAAGCAATTGGGGGCTTTGGAAGAGTTGGAGGGAAGGGAGTAGAGAATGGATTTGATCAAAACACATTCATATATAATTTTTCAAACAGAAATTAAAATAATATTTAAAAATGTACTCATTGGCATTTTCCTCCCAAAATAATCATTGATAGAAACTTATTTGCATTAGTTAAAAATTGGAAAAATCAAAATGCACTAAAACATGAGTGGTTGATATAAGTGCAATATATTCATGAAATGTGACTCACAATACAAAGTAACAAACTGTGGCTGGCAAGATGGCTCAGCTGGTAAAGGCACTTGCTACTAAGTCTGATGACCTGAACTCAATCCTTAGGGCTCTCATCTCCACATGTGCACCATATGTCATGTTCATATCACACAAATATACATACAAATTAAATAATTAACTTTTTTTAATTAATAAACTTTGACATGCAAGAGTGCCAACTCACCAAAAGGTTTTTATTTTAGGGAAAAAAAAAAAAACTCAAATGGTCATTTACTAATTTTATTTATGTGACATTCTTTAAATGACAAAATTGTGGACACAGCAGATGAAAAACTTCCTCAGATTAAAAAAGCAGTAGTAAGGAGGCTGGAGAGATGGCTCAGTGGTTAAGAACAGTGACTGCTTTTCCAAAAGACCTGGGTTCAATTCCCAGCACCCACATGCAGTTCACAACTGTGTAATTCCAGTTCTAGGAGACCTGACACCCATGGCAAAACACCAATGCATATATAAACAAATAAACAAATAAATAAATAAATGCAATTTTAAAAAGTGTAGTGAGAAAGAACTAGGAAGTTCTTTGTGGTAACAGAGGAGTCATGTATCTTGACTGAAGTGATAGTTACAGGAGGGTACACAAGTGACAAAAATAACACAGAACTAAGCAGTTTATGCTAATTTTTGTATTTTATATGTACATTTTTTATATTTTTATTTTATATTGTATTTACATGAGAGAAGAGAAACTGAGTGAAGGGGAACACAGAACCTGTTGACTATCTTTGGAACTTCTGTTGAACTCATAAGGAATTTAAAAACAATAACATAATCAGCAAAATCCAATTATTTAGAAAATAAGGCCTGTTCATAAAAAAACTTTTTTTTTTTTCTTCAGCAAACAGTAATTGTAGTCCTAGTGCCAGGTTCTCTGTCAGGCCCAAGAGACAGCAATGAAAAATACATGACTTCAAAGAGCTTCTAGTTTAGTAGTAGAAAACACAAGTCATTCAAACTAACACAGGCAAATATGCTGCATCTGCACACTGGAAAGGGATTTAGCAAAACCAATACCTGCATCCAGACGCTGCTCCCCGTTCATCTCCACAGCACATGGGCTATCCCTTCCTCAAATAATGAAAAAGCTGAGGCTCTGCTGATATGAAGATGGATCTAAAGTTCAAAGTTTCTGTCCAGTGGACATCCAAGGATCTAAACAAAAGTGTTAAAAAAAGTTATAAACATGGCCAAAATTCAATGTATTTACTTATTCATAAAACAGCATTTGACTGGGTTGAGAGGTAAGAGAAAAGTCACTTAGAAGATACGGAATTTGGGGGCGGGGAGGTGACAGCTTTTCCAAATTTGACGTTTGTCTAGTGAGTATGGATATACTGACGTGTGTACAAGAGGATTATAGAGGCCTTGATAGCTAAGGATTACAATAAAGTGTGACTGAAGAGATGGCTCAATAGTTAAGAACACTGGCTGCTGACTACAGGACCCAGGTTCAACTCTCAGTAGCCACACATTGTTTCATAATACTCTGTAACTCCAATACCAGGGGATCTGGATTCCTTCTAGCCTCCTTAGGAATCAGTCACAAAGGTGGTATAGGACATACATTCAGGCAAAATACTCCTATACAGAAAATAAAATGATTTACTGACGATATAATAACAGCATGTGTATGAGTCCTAACCTTTAAAATTATTATCAATGCTTATATCCACCAAAAAAAAAAAAAAACTCTAGCTCTTCCATCCATAAAAACTTCAATACCTAAGAGAATCACTCTAAAATAAGTTCCAAACCCATTTATGTATTAAAACAGCTTTACTGGTGAGGCCTTAAATCCCAGCACTCAGTAATAGGCAGGCAGATCTCTGTGAGTTTGAAGCCATCCTGGTCTACATGACAAGGTTCAAAACAGCCAGAGCTGCATAGTTAGAACCTGTCTCAAAAAACAAAACAGAACAACAACAGCAACAACAACAACAACAAAAAAAAAATTTTATTGGAATAGAATTCACACATCAAAATTCACATTTGAAATGTACAATCTAATAACTTTTAATTAAATTTACAGAGGATTTAGCTATTACCATATACCAGTTTTAAAATATTTGTGTCACCGTGAAGAGACTTCACGCTCATGCTCATTAACCACACTACAAGGTGAGCATCATCATCATGAGTTCACAGGCACAAAGCAATTATCATACTTGCCTGGAGCCAAAAGCCAGTAAGCAGCAGAACCAGGCCTCTAACCAAGGAGAATGTCTATATTTCATACCCTCAAATACTATATTACCTCTCAAGTGGAAGCAAATGATGATGACTTTGAACTCCTGATGCTCCTAAGTCTACCTTCTGAATGGTAAGATGTATGGGTGCTATAATTAAGTATAAGAAAAAAATTAATAAATATTTACCAGATGGTTAAAGGGGGGAAAATCCACTAAAATATTTGAATTTGCATACCTATTCCAATTCAAAAGACATATGTACTTCTTAAGTGTGCTGTTAAATATGGTAAATACTGTAACTAGATGTCCCATTTGTCAGATTTGCAGCTCTAACTCTGCTCCTGGCAGGTAAAGGCTACTAAAGTTCACTCTATTTTCTGTTCCCCAGAAGTTTAGATTCTACTATTGGCCCTTCACTCTCAACAATACTCAACCATTGTTCCCTGCATAGTCTGCTTTAAAGAGTAAATTAAACTAGTATTCATATTTGCCAAATAAACTTGATTTTCAGGATAAAAATCTTTTGATTTACTAAGTTGTTTCTCCTGATTATTTTTATTGCTGCTAATCCACTGCTACATGTCTAAAAAGATTAAAAATTAAATTCTGACAAAGTCCGGGTTTTAAAGCATTCTGACAGACAAATCTTAGCCACCTATGTAATCTAAATTAAATCTGACCAAAATGTAATCTTTTTAAGGTTACGTAAATTTAACATAGCATTATCTGTCTTAGCTCAAAAATTGGCACTAATAAATGTATTAAACACCTAGAACTGTTTCCTTTTAGAGACACTTGGCTACTACACTTGGCTTTTTGTTTTTTTAATGTGGGGATCTGAACTCATGTCCTCTTGCTGTAAATCAAGTGCTTTATTGACCAAGCAATGTCCTCAGGTCCTGTATACTTCACATAAGTGAATTTCATAACATGTAAAATATAACACTAAAGTTTTTTTTTTTAATGGTACTTATACTGAAGGAATCTATTGTTACAGGATATCTAATCACACTGTGAAACCCAAGATTCTGTTATTTACTGGAAAAAAAAACTGTTTCTAGTTGTGGTGTGGCTCAGTCCTAGCACACACTTTTAAACCCAGAGCTTTCTGCTTGAATATTGTAAACAGGACTAAATAAAGTCAACCATAGGTTAAGAGGTGGAGCAAGCAACGAGTTGTCAGAAAAAAAAAAAAAAAGAGTCAGGACAGACAGAGATGCACAGGAAGCAGAAGGGAGGGACATTAAGTTTGAGAAGTTTTGTTTGAGATGGTATATAAAAAATTCTCTTTGGGGGGCATTATCGAAAGAGGAAGTTAAGCCAAATGCTTTCTCTGCTTCTCTAAGCTAGCAGGTTTTCACCCCAGCATTTGGCTACCAAGTCTTTACTGGTAAAATTGAATGACTGAAATTTAGATTAAAAATAGTTTATACTAGTTGGATTTTGTCAATTTGACACAAACTAATGTCAATTGAGGAACTGCTTTCATCAGGCTGGCCTATAGGCGTAGTGGGACATTTTCTTGTTTAATGATTGATGTAGGAAGGCTCAGCTTACTGTGGGAGGTAACACCCCTATGCAAGTGGTCTTGGATGTATAAGAAAACAAGCTGAACAAGTCACCAGGGGCAAGTTAGTAAGGAGCATTCTTCCATGGTCTCTACTTCATCTCCTGCCTCCAGGTTCCTACTCAAATTCATGCTCTGATGATGGACTGTAATTTGGAAGTGCACACCAAATAGATCCTTCTTCCCACCAAGGTAATTTTGGGTATGGTTTTATATCACAGCAATAGATAAGAAAACTAGTACTGAAACTTCTATACTAGTTACTCTTTTGTTGCTGGGATAAAATACCATGACCAAGGCAGCTTATAGAAGGATGGGTTTATTTGGGCTTACGGTTCTAGGGGATAGAAGTTCATTGTGGTGGGGAGGCAGAGCAGCATGAAGAGGAAGCTGAGTGATGACTTCAACCACAAGCAGCAATCCGGGGGATAGAGGAGCGCATAACATGTTAGACACAGAGACAAAGAACAAACACCAATGGGAAGTGGGAATGGGACAAGGCTATGAACTCCAAAAGCCACCCGCAGAGACACATTTCTACCTCCCTAACAGTGCTCCCTACTGGGGATCATGTCTTTACTACCTGAGCCTATGTGGTCCCAACACTGGTAGTGTTTAGAATTAATACTATCATCTTCTAGAATTTATATGACCCACTAGTATCAGTTATTTAAGAAAGTTCAATGAATCAATAGCAGTGGTATTAAGATCTACCACAGAATTCTTTCTCATTTACTTATTATTTACTTAGCACATATTAACTGCCATACATATTCTAGGTAAATAAACATTCTAGGTTAATTTCTAGGAGAGAAAAAAAAAAACTTGCCCTCATTGTTCTACAATGTAGTGCAAGTAGATGGTGGATAAACCCTATAATGTATTTCATGAAGATAACTATTATGTGAAAAGTTAAAAGAGGCAAGAGGCTAGAAAGTGCTACTTTCAATTGGGTGATCAAGGTCTTAGTTTGGCAGACATGAACCAACAACTAAGGGGAAATAAAATGAAAGTCATCTATGGAAGCAGAATACAAATATGTATGTATTCTTTCTAGTAAGAAGTAATCTAAGTCAGTCTATCATTTGGTCACAAGAGAAGCAGCTGTGACATAATTACTTACCAATTAAAAAAATAAAATAGGCTTTACATACACTAACCTTTACTTAAATTTCATTAGCTTGGAAAGATTATCTTGCGATTTGGGGTTCTTAAATGGTGGCACTGTTTTTAGGAAGTTCTTAACTTCTTGAGCCACTACAAGAAAGTAGGTCACTGGAGTCAGGTCCTTGGGGGCTCCTATCCTTTCCTGTCATGATGAGGGGCACATGTGGTAAAGACTGTTCACTTGCCTCTCCCACATGCCCCACTGCTATGATAACCTGCCCAATACATGCAACCTCTTAAACTGTGAGCCAGAATAAATCCTTCCTCAGTTTTTTTTTTTTTTTTTTTAATCAAGCATTCTGTAATAATGGTAAAAAAAACTAACTGGTTTACCTATAAGGTCATAAAAACATTTTTATACAGATTATTAAGGTATAATAAAATGGCCTGTTTGGGACTGTCTTCCATATAATAGACATCCAAAAGTGGTTCTCAGTCACTTCTAAACAATTTAAGACAAAGTATCACTTGTAGGTAATCCTAGCAAGGAAGTTTCTAACATCAAATAACTTCTCATATTAGGAGGCTATTAAGAAACCTTTTTCATTGGGCAGTGGTGGTGCACTCTGAGAGGCAGAGGCAGGTGGATCTCTGTGAGTTTGAAGCCAACCTGATCTACAGAGAATTCCAGGGCAACCAGGGCTACACAGAGAAACCATGTTTCAAAACCAAGAGAGAGAGAGAGGGAGAGAGGGAGACAGGGAGACAGGGAGAGAGGAAGACAGGAAGAGAGGAAGACAGGGAGAGAGGGAGACAGGGAGAGAGAGAGGGAGACAGGGAGAGGGAGAGGGAGAGAAGAAAAAAAAGGAAAAAAAAAAAAAACAACCTTTTCTAGGCCTTCAATCCCAGCATTCAGGAGACAGAGGCAGGTGGATCTCTCTGTAAGGCAAGCCTGGTCTAGGTAACAAGTCCCTGACCAGCCAGACCTACATAGGGAGACCCTATCTTTAAAAAGAAACAGGAGGAAAGGACTCTGTTTAAAAACAAAACAAAAAAGAATCCTTCACTCCAACATCCTTTCCTTTACAAAAAGGAAACTGAACCTCTAATTTAGAGACACCGGACTGCATAGAGCAAAGGTGGAAAAAAAAAAAAAAAACACCTTAAAGTCACAGAGAAACCAGCACAGGATTAGGTTCTAAACACTTAGACACATTCTCATTTCATTTTCACAAGTCTAAAGCAAGCATCATAACAAGTTTAATAACAAGCATAATAAGTTTACAACTCAAAAGCCTAGGCTCCAGCAAAACCAAGAAATACCTTAGTATTCAAAAGTCTGACTCCAAAACTCAAGCATCTCCCATATGCGATTTCAGACAACACAGTACATGCATGCTTTCTATATTCTATGTACCCAAATGATTTCCTTACTCCAAGAGTCCTCAAAATATTATCAGGATTGTTTAACCTCTAGGTCTGTCCCCATCATTATCTCCTGCAATTTACAATAAACTCACCCACTGTTGATTAAATATCACCAGTGCAAAATAAGGCCAATTTACAAAAATGCATTTATGCCTTAAGCAATTTATTTTATTCCTACTGCTTATAGAAGGGTTTTTAACTTGGAATTCGAAGGCCCACAGAGAGAATTCAAGAGTTCAGTGTGGATGAAGAAAAGGTTTTTTATTTTTTTACTAGCCTGCAGAAAACAAACATTTTCTTCCAGTGTAGGCAACAAATCACAGTAACATTAGCAGTAATTGTAACTTACCACCACAGAGCACAGACATTTATATTACACCAGTACAGATAATATGTAACTGATATCTTTTTTAATTGTATGCATTTTAATTTTATATGTTTACACACATTATTCAGAGAACAATTCATGAGCTGGTTTCTATTATCATTCCCAAATCCTAAGGCATGGTTTTGGAAGTAAAGTATATGAAAGACCAATCATCTAGAAGCCTGCTGTGAATTGCTGTACCAAAGTCTATTATTGTTAACAGTGGCAAAAATATATTTTTCCATCTCTTTCATTGGTAACCTTAAATGGAGACAGAACAACCCACTCATAAAACTTGCTAAGTTATAACATTTACATTACAATGATTTGTGCTCAAAGTGATAAAGGTGGTCATTATTCTACCCTCTAAATGCAAAAAACAAAAACTCTTCTATACAGAGTATTAAAAAACAAACAAACAAAACCAGATAAACCTAAAATGAGCTAAAATAACACCTTGGGTACAACTAATGATATGAACAGTAGAGTTGGTCCCATCTGAACTACAAGACTCTTCCCCCAAAGGGGAGGGGAAAAAAAGTTTTTACTAATACTATATCTTGAAATAGTAAGAGTCTAGCCAGGTGTATTAGTTCACACCTTTAATCCCAGCACTTTGAGAGGCAGAGGCAGGCAGGGATCTATGAGGTTGAGGCAAGCTTGGTCTACAGAGTAAGT